GCTGAAACTTATGTGGAAGCATCCTGGGATAGCGTAGATTCTAAATTATTCAAACCATGACCACCGGGGATAGTGCGGGGCCGCAATAGTGAATCCAAGTTTTACATTGAAATATATAGAAAAAATCTAAAAATCTTCTTCTCAAGAACCACTGGGTCAGAAAAGCTGAAACTTATGTGGAAGCATCCTCGAGTAGTGTAGAATCTTAATTATCCAAATCAAGACCCCCAAGAGTAGGGTGTGTCACAATACGTATTATGGGGAGGGGTCTGACAAAGAACAGCATTACCAAATTTACTCGGGTGAGCGATGTGGTCCATGGGCTTTTTGTTGTAATATCTGCAAGATATTTTTTCACACTGTTAACAATTTGAAACAATGACGTAGATTTTAACGAGCGCAAGTGCAAGTCATAGAAAACGAATGTGAAAACAAATGCGTCTAAATAAAAATTTTCGATATGCTGTCGATCGAGATCAGTATTTACGATAAATATGAAAAGATAAAATATCAAATGAAACAATAATTGACTTTTGAATGGAATTTTAACATCCAAACTAACCGCATGGTATTTTCTTCGCTACAAATCATAAAATTTCAAAGAAAGAAAAATGCCATTTACGGGATGAAGAAACAAGAAAAGCTGACGTAAGTAAAAATACTATCAAAACAGTTTACAAGAAAAGAAAAGACATTCTATGAAAATAATGCCTCAGAGATGTTTGATTTAATTTTAATAAAGCATATCAATAAAGTTTCTCAAAAATTCAATATTTTTCATATTGTTCAGTTTTAGTAAAATAATCACTTATACCAACAAGAAATATAATTATGCTTTATGAATTTTATTTACTTTATAATTCGAAAGTAGGAAAATAGAGTGTGTTGTGTTTGACAGCTCTGTACCCGTACTATTCATATTTTTGGTACACTTATTTGAAAATAAAACTTAGAAATACGAAGAACAATGTATGGTTTCAATACAAATCTGGCTCTTTATTTTTCTTAAATCTAAAAGTTATGTCAGAAATTCGAATTTATCCTTTCTGAAGTATTGAAATTCCATGCAGTAAGAAAATACAAATCATTTTTCTCATATGACCTTCTCAATGCTAATTGTGACGTCACGAACTTGTGAATTGTCCCCTTTTTTCTTACACAATATATCCAACTAGAACTGTCCAATAGGGACAAATACCCCCCGCTGGGTTTTTCAGAGAAGGTGCCAATTCATAAATACTTTATGGATCTAGAGATGTTCATAATTTACTTTAAAAAATTTGCAGTGAAATATAATTGCTCATCATGTTTCTTAATGAATGAAACGGAGGTGCAACCAAATGAAACATCAATACTAATACTGTAATACATCGTAATTCCATTGTAACATTTTTTTTTCATTTAATTTTTCTTCATTACTGCATTAAAAAAATATATTGCAATTATGTGTTATGTCACTCTGCAAACTGATTGTTGAAAAAAAAAACCATTATACAAAATCAAATTAATCTTGATATATCAATTTGAAATGCATTTTGAAAATAAAGAACTGGTCATCCAGTAATGAAGTGTTTTGACAGACAATAAATTACAATTAAGAGAATAAGAGAAGGGAGATCTTTAATTCTTGTGCCTTATTCCCTGAAGATTTGATAACACACACACACTTGATAAGAGATATGCCTAAACAACTTCCAACACCAAACGCATTAATTTATCTTTAACTGGATGCATGTCCAGTCATTATTCCCAAGAGACAAATGAAATTACATTATCTTCTGTGCAATGTAAAAACTGTTTTTAACACTTGATGTTTCCTTTTTGAAAAAGTTTTTATGAGTAGTTTTAAGCTGTAGTTCACGTTTTTGTACAGATATTCTAGATTCTATGTCTCAAACCTTATACATGAGCCCAAAATGAACAAGTCAATTAAAATTTTAAAAAACCTATAAAATGCAGAAAAATTAACAAAAAGAGTTGAAAATTCCAGGTGCACAACTTCATATGGTGAATAATAATTGTACAAATTTTCAGATTAATCCTTGCAATAGTTTCTGAGAAACGGTCCAAACAAAACCCCAAAATAAAAATGAAAAAACACCTGTAAAATTCAAAATAATAATCCAATCAAGATGAAAAATATCAGGTGCACAACTTCATATGGTGAATAATATGTGTACAAATTTTCAGACAAATCCTTCCAATAGTTTCTGAGTAATGGTCCGGACAAAGTCTCGTCTACAGACAGACGGACAGACGGACAGACAGACAGACGGACATGGTGATTCCAATATACCCCCCCTAAACTTCGTTTGCGGGGGGTATAAAAATTGAAGTGGAGTCGGCTGCAGAGACTATTTTCCAAAGGAAAATCACAAAAATTAGTCATTGCGGGGCTTCTTTGCAAAACAACTTAGAATTGTACCAAATTAATGACCTCTTATTTCCAGAATGAATGGTCCACTTTCATGCCATATTCTTTAATGATTAATCCTATTCATCTACTCAACTTATCTTTAAGTCAATTTCATATTGTTCAAAGAAAATTTAATTTTTAGGGCACAATAATGCCCAAACCATACCTTCTTCTTTAACAACAACAAAGAAAAGGAAATTCAAACATAAGAGTTGTGCAATACGTTACTACAAACCGATTCGTTACCGGTAAAATGACTAAACTTTTTAGAAGTCTTTCCTAGCAGAGAAAATGACATTTCATTATTACACTTTTGAATTTAAAAAAAAATGTCAATTGTACTAGTGCAGTTAAGTTTGTTTTTTGGTGATTTTTGAGCGCAATAATATATTTCAGGGGAATAAAATGATATTCTTCTTATTTAAATTCAATGTGGGAAAATTCAGAATTCTTTAATTAATAAGTATAAATTATTTTTTAATACATACTGTATTGGTTAATACGAAAAATTTTTGAAAGCTATGCTCAAGTAACACAAATCTGTAAGCTGGGTGTCAGTCTAGTATAGGTCACTTAATTATTAATTTTAAAACAAATGTTAAACTGATTTGGGTTATATGTTGCAGTGTTAAAACCATTCCAAAAGGAGTAGTTGGACAAATTTTAGTGAATAATATAAAGTTCTTTTGTTGAAAGACACGCCCAGAACATGTAAATTAGATGTACACATGTACCTGTAATACATACCCACATAGCAAAACAAAACTAAGTCCTTAAAAGAAACGGACATGATAAAGATATGAGTATAGTGTTTATTTTAAAATACAATATACGTTGAATGCGTCAGATTTTTAGAAAGTAGATGATCACCAAATGGTCACTAATTAGTATGTTTTGAATAAGGAATTTCCCAATATACATCTGCACTGAATATTTTCAGGTCATAGATTATCTTGATATACCCCTTTAAACGATAAGATTATTCGTGTTAGAACATGTACCCCAGAGAGGCAACACACGCTTAAATATATCATTCTTGACGAAAAAGATAATGTATGCAAGTGAAGATGTTCTCCGTTGCTAATATATATACTAGAGGGTATGTAGATTTATACTTTTGGTTTCGTAAACCTTTGTATGCTATCTATTGATTAAAGCATGAGATATCCTTGTTTGACGAAAGAGAAAGTAACTTTTCAAACAAGCCAGACATCAACTCACAAACATACTATTCTACTTCGGGACTATTGTTTATATTTTTCAGACTTTGATTACAGCTAACCTGAGCCAAAGGTCCAAACGAAATTTTTCTGATAAAAAAATTATCCCTTTGACTATCGTCGCTATTGTTTCGTCATAAACGTTTCACCTTTTAGGTCCTCTTCAAGGGTGAATAAATTAGAAATCAGTATAAAATTGGAAAGGATGTTTTTCTTAAGAACCACTAAGCCAAAAAGTTTAATAATGTAAAAATCCCGATTTTTGTTTTAGAAGTCAAACCCTATGTACATGTAGCTAGGTTGGGAGCATAACAAGGAATCAAAGTAATGTTGGAAAATCACAGGCACTTGTTTCTGTAATAAATTTTTGACACATAGTATAATAATAACACAAGCTTGTGTTATTATTATACTATGGGTTAAAATTTATTCACGAAACAAGTGCCTTTGTGGAAAATATATAAAAAATTTCCTCTCAAGAACAAAAAGACCTTGAACAGAAATTTACAATTGTAATGATATGTATAATTATGAAGATAACCAGCAGAATTCAATCTCAAAAGTCCATTCAACCAATGCAAATCAAGAGCAGAGCGAACACGGACCTCAAACCATCAGAGGTTGGATCAAGTACCATGGAGGAGTGATCATCCTCTGTGGAATGCGCACACCCGTCGAGTGCTCCTTGACAGGATCGGAAAATAACAAAAAAATCATTTGACAATTTGGTGTGTGAATAATGACCTAACGTTTAGTATGAAAAACGTCAGTCAGCATATGACCTAATGACAGATTGTATTTGAAGAAGATCATTGAATCGACCATAAGAATTTATATTTTTAAACGAGACTGTTGATATTCTTGTATCATCAACTTGTTTCTTAACATATTGTCTCTCTTAACCAGCATTCCAAAATGAATGCAGATACAATCTTTTTCAAATCATGACGCATAGCGGCTAAAATTTACCTGATAATATGAAAAATTATTACTGTATATTAAAAATCATTTCAAGGTAATATTTTGAAGGACAATATGACCATAGTCAGTGATATTATACTGCAAGCATCGACAGGCAGTTAGATACATGCTTGTTAATCGTGAAGTTAAGAGTAAGCCTGCAATAGAGGATCAAAGGTTTATATATATGAGGAAAAATAGTAAGACAAAATGTTCGAAAACCCTGTATTGGTTTCAACAACACAATGTGCAAAGCATTCATGCTTCATTTTTTTAAAAAAAAATATTTAAGAATTCATTGAAAAAGTCTCTTTGTGGTTGACATTATCAAAAGTATATAAGATTATTTAAATTATAAAAAATTCAATTTTTTGCTTTTATTCATGCAGATTGAAAGTGCTTACCAATGTACAGATGAAATACACAGAACAACCTGAAATGAAGATATACAGTAAAGCAATTAAATTATTATCTGCTCCTGCAATTGTTTATTAATGTTCCTAAGAGTTGTGGCCGGAGACTTCAACCTCAGCAAACCACAGATATGAAGTTGACACAAAGCTACAAAAAATATTATTATGCACAAATTACTAGTAACACTACAATTCTGATTTTCTAAAAATTATAATTAAATCTAGCTTTTTATCCACCAGTATTCGGTGACAAAATGAAAATTATATCACGTTTATCAGTAACGATCAAGCTAGGATTTAACCTCATTATTAGTGGTAGTTAAAGTAAATTATTATAATCTAAGATGTATAATGTTACTCTGAATGAAATTGTAAAATTGAATATGCACTAATAGTATATTTATGAGTAAGCTTTGATAAGAAAAAGTATATAACCAATATGATGGACACTGTACATGTATTCAGTTTCCGTCACCCCTTCAAAAAGCTTATAAATGCCAGATTTATACATTTTGACCTTACATAACTTTTTAAAAGTAAAGTTGCCCACTTATTTTATTTTATGCACACATATATGACATACAGATAACCTCTAACAAGAGCACAACATTCATTTTTCCAGCGATGGTTGTAGTTTTTCATATCTAGTGATAAACAAGTCTTTTGCCAAAATTAATTAGCTTTGATGTCAAAATCTTGTCTTATTGTCATGACAGCAATATTATTACAAGTTTTGTTTTGTTTTCTTTGGAGAATAGGTTAAATTTTTCTTTAAACAAATAATGAATTAAAAAAATACCTATATATCTTATAACGTACAGAAAACGGATTCAAATAAAAATTGCTATAAATAATTGATTTTCATAAGGATTTATAATAAAGCCCGTTGCTAAGGAAATGGATTTCCTTGGACACCAGTACCTTAATTTGTCCAAAATATGACAAAAGGTAGAACACCAATTATATACCAAAAGCTTTCGAAAAGAAAAAAATTGAATTTCCAAAAAAAAAAAAAAGCATTTCATATTACATAACATTTCATATCACCTTTTTACACTGAAATGTGTGTCTTAATTAAAAGTCACATCTTTGAGTTTTACCTCCCCTGTTTTTGTCCAAATAAATTGCTTTACATTATCAATTAATTTACCCTTCTGCACTCACAAAATGTGATATTTTTGGCATTGAAAATTTTAACATGGAAGAAAATAATTTCAAATAGTTTAACTTTTGCTGAATTTAAGCAGATTAATCAATGTTTTCTTAATTCTTATACATTCTGAAAAGAAAAAAAAACAAAAGTGGGGTCTATGATGTAATTTTTAGATATTACTAAAAAGGCGTTAATTATGTTAATATTACACTATTTTTCCCTGGACTTTCAGAATATACTAACTATAATGAAAGAAATCATAACAAATAATTAAATAGATATATATTCTAGAACCAGCATAAAACATTTTACGGGGAAAAACAAATTAAACATGGAAAAATAAGAATCTAAACTTTAAATACCGTACATATTTCAAAAGGGAAAAATTGAACATTTTCCTTTAAAAAACTTTCCACCACAAAACATAGGTTCTAGCAGCTTAATCCTTTCTTAATGGGATTTAATCGTTATTTTTTTTTTATTTCATTGGATATTATTTCATTTGCATTGTAGAATCCAGATTTGGTGTGAAAACTTAAATGATGCAGAATTTCATAAATAAAGGTTCAGCAGACCAAAAGCTACTCAAAAGCACAGGGTCGAACCTCCTTAAGGTATGTCACTCGTGAAATTTGTTAAATAAAGGATTTATTGAGAAGTATATTTTTGATAAGTACTCATATAGAGTGACTCAAAATCGCAGAGAAAGTAAGGGGTCAGTATTCATCTTACTGATTTACGGTACAATGAAGTTGACCTTTTTGCACTTAAATTTTAACTCTTTGGTTAATTACATTTATTATATTTTATCAAATGTAACCATTGCAAAAAATATTATCTTATTTACGTAAAATATTTTGAATAATATTAATCATTGAAAAAAATCTTGCAAATTAATGCGCGTAAATTATTGTGTGACCTTTTTGCAATAAAAAGTAACATATTTTGGGGTATTGAAAAACTAAATAGGCAATAAAACATTTTCTTAATCAAGCTTTTTACGACTTAAGTGCTTATCAGTCACAAGTACTGAGTACTTTAAAATAATGAAAGAAAAAGTTGGGGTCAGTGATGTTAATTTAGAAATATTGGTAAAAATATATGATTTTCAGGCAAAAAATGGTGTTAATATTATTTTGACTTATTTGACATATCTTCATTTTTTGGCAAAGTTTGTGGAAGGAAGGTGTAAAACTTGTTCTAAAATATAAATTAAGACCTATATTAAACATTCCTAGCAATATCATAATGGAAAATATTCTCCGAGTAAAAGTATGTGAGGCTAAAAGTCCAAGATATTAAATTTAATAAATGTGCAGATTTGCAGAATTATCTGCTAAATATCCTTCCACCACAAAAAATAATCCCTCACAAGTCTTTCATCTTTGTAGCTTTTTGAGCAGTTTTTTGTTGTTGTTGTTGTTGAATGTTAAAACATTAACATTGTTGAAATCAAATATTTTTTAAAAATTTAATTTTGATAAGTAGTTTTGAAGTAAGAGGTTCTGCGTGAACTTTTCCAAAAAGCTGACGATTGACCTACCTTAAACAATCTTAAATGTAGCATTGTGTGGAGTCGATTTAAATAAATAGGTTATTTATTGTTTTCATTTATTTGAAACACGATTGGTTTAAATTTTATAATAACAGAAAAAATCTTTCATAAACCTAAAAGAATTACCTTTCTATTTTGAGCCAAATCTATACACGCCATGTTTGAAAATTTAGGTATTTTTGTAGTTTCTTTTCTTTGCCATTACAAAGATCATCTTTGTAGTGGCGAAAAAACGAATGAGGGTAATAAAATAAAAGAATTAATACGTACGTGTACCAAGAATACCTATACCACATATCAGGAATCATGTTATTATGAATTATTTGTATACTTAAAATAAACTTTCGCAAATAATCGCTTCCGAGATGATAACGTTGTATGGCACACGAAATCAGCTAAAATTCACTAAAATATAAAAAAAAAACACTAAAAAATTTGATAAATTCCCAGATTTATCGATTGTAAACTATAGTTGTAGAACCATAAAATTAGTTTACGATTAACTACATTTTTCATCCGCAAACTATACTTGTAAGCTAAAAAAACTAAAGTATAACGGTGTAAATTATAATATTTAAAGGATGACTCTTACTCGTGTTTCAGAAGACAGAAAGTACGAGGACAATGCTTCAGAAGACAGAAAGGAAATGTTATAAAGTACAATATCAGGAGTCAAAACTTTTTTATGAATAAATAAAATGACCAAGTTTCAACTCAATGTCAATATCAGACTTTAATATTTTATAATTTGAAGAAAATATTTGCAAGAACAAAAGTCAATATATGGAAATGCAGAGGAAATTCAGCAAATTTTTTATTTCTTGCTATATCAAATATTTACAAACGCTGTGTTTTTCTACTAAGCCAACTGTAAAATTGATTTGAATACCATTTTATAGTGTATACTCACGCGTAAATATACACGGAGAAACGTGCGTTAACTTGACGTCACAATAAGGCTACAGCGACGTTAGTAAATGTATAACGATATAGGACAGAGAGAAATTCAAATATTGAGTATGTTTTTGGTGCTTCCAAACATGAAAAATGTAAATATAAGGAATGTTTTTAAGTCTAGTGTGAATTATTGGTGTGTGAATCACACAGACTTGCACGTAGGCATATTTTTGAAGCGCTAACGCGCTTCATGAAATATGCCTACGTGACAAGTCTGTGTGATTCACACACCAATAACTCACACAAAACTTAAAAACATTCCTTAATTAAATAGTAATATTTCAACATCATTTTGGAAACATCATGTGTGTTAAAGATCATGAATTATTTCAAATAATGGAATGACATGAAATTAAGAAATTTAAAAATTTAAATAAAAACTCTTTCAGAAAACACGCATATACATGTATCTCAATAATTTTATCATTGTCCTCATATAATATTAGGAGTTTTTTGTTCTTATAAGTGGATTTTTTGTCATCTGAGTAAACATCATCCTTAAGTTTTTTCCCATGTTTACCCCTTTATCCCATGGATATTATTCATTGGATGAAACATATAGAGATGCTTTTTAAAAATCTTGCGTGAGATAGATTAGGTAATATAATGTATATTCCTGTTTAAAACAGTGTAAAATGTTGATAGTAATGTTTAAACATAGGATGAAAAGAATCTCTTTTGTGATTGAATATGATTTTTATCCAACGAGATGTTTTTCTTTGAGCAATGGCGAGTGAGATAAAAATCATTTTTAATCACAGTCATGGGAGATTATTTTTATCACATTATGCATAAAATTCAATGTTCTCGTACAATGGTTCTTCGAATTTCCAAAAAAGAAAATCACATCAATCGAATGTCGATCCCAAAATATTTTATGAACACTTCAATAAACATCCCCAACAGTTCTTTCTTTGTAAGACACGGTTACATTGCCATACACCCTTTACAGTCTCCTTCGTCGTCGCTTTTAAGTTGTGAATATGTGAATTGTATCTAGGGGTGAAATTAAAGACGAATTTTTTTTTGTTTTTAATTTTCCACAACATACGGATTCATGAGTAAAATATATTAAACATTTAACCGGGGAAAACCATCTATGGTTAAGATCACACAGCTGTTATGTGCACACAGTGTTAAGGACCTTTGTAATTTGAGAAAGTTTCTGTACCATGCTTTTATCTTATACGAACTGAATGCGATACTGTCTTTTAAAGAAATAAAAAAAAATGTTTTGTACATTCTGTACCATGGAATCCAATTGAATAATTATTATGCTAACTGTTAAAGAAAAAAACCCTGCTTTATCTCTTACTGTTTATATGTTATAAACTTATATTGTATACAAGATGTATGTCTTACGTTATAGTGTGAATTGAATAATTCAAGTCAATATTGTATTAAAGAATTTATGAACACTTATTCTTATTTTTTTATGTCATCGGTCCTATAACAGCACCGGGCCAGATCTGTTCCTATATCATGTAAACTGTGCAATACAGGTAAGAAAATGCTAAAACGTACTAAGGGGCAAGTGTGTCAACAAATTTAAAACAAATAAATACCGCCTATTAGCGCGGTATGATAATTAGATGCTAGGACCAACGACATTCGAAACTAAGAATTCAGTGCTTACATTTACATTCTCTAATTTTCTGTCTTAATGGTTTTTTATTTTACTAATTCTAATTATGAATTTAACGCCTTTCAGAACTCGTGTGCTAAATAGATGCAAGATCCGTTGTGATATTGGACACTGAACAGTAAAATAACTCAGTGAATGATTGAAGGGGGAAATGAAAATTAATTTTAAGATTAAGGTTTAATTGTAATATTTTTACATAAATTTATAAGTATACTTGTTTTTATTCTAACTGAGCTAAAACAATATACATTTTGGTTTTTAGAGTATAAAAAATGCATCTAGTTCCTACTGTGTATTCAACCGCGCAAGGCGACAAAGTTTTTTTATTACAGGGATTTGAGTGTCGTGGATCTCAAACGAGTTTCATAAAGAAAATTACACTAAATGTAAGTATAAAAAAATCCACAGAATTTACCTCATTATATTTTAATGAAAAATCCATTGTGACGACACAGCAGTCGGACAATGAGTGATATCGATATCCACTGGATAAAGGGTTAAAAAATGTTATTTAATAGTTAGTCGAATGTCCTATATTTCCCTTTCTGTATATAAACGTTCTCAATTCATTTTCCATAAAAAATATATACTGCTCTGCTCACAAATGATATTATTTTATGGATATTTTGGACTTGATCTGTTTGTTATTTCTTTGTTTCCCTTTCATGTTTTCAAAAATTGTAAATTGAATGTATGAACGTCAATGAAAATAAAAAAAAAATAAAATGAATTATTTAAATGTAAAATAATTTATTATTATATATTTTTTATTTTTTAAAAACAATTTAATAAGATAAATGTTTTTATGAAATTTAACGAAAGCAATATTTTTATGTTTTAGACTATTTGAAAATACATACAGACCCAGCTGTGACAAGGTTTCACGTGTATAGGGTATTGAATGCTTGGATATATGAATGCAAAATATATTTTGTAAAGAAAATTATGATAAATGTTAATATTTCAGATAAATTATGTTTAACATTTGTTAATTATGTATTTCAGTCATAAACTATTGTAATAGAAAACAGTTATTTTTACTCATAATTTACCTGTATAATGAACAGACGTGAACTATTATCTTGTGTCCGTTTATAATAGTTTTGAGCGATAAACTATGATGCAAATTTGATTTTATCATCTTCATAAATATAATTCACACTCATAAACAAATGTTTAACAGCCGATAAATGTAGTTTACATAACGATAATTTTCGATACAAAATCTCTCGGAACCAATCGAGAAAGGCGATACAAAACTTCACTGCCTATTAAAAACTTGACCAGATCACCATGTTAAAATTATAACTAACAGTGTACTTAATAAATAGTACACTGTTCTATAAAATAAAAGAGGTACAATGTGTAGAGAATTTGATCTTTTTGTTTGATTAAAACGCTCTAATCTTTCTAAATTTGTTTGTAACATGCAAATACCGGTAAATAAAGGAAACCAGATGTCGATTTTATTGCTTCATCGGTAAAATCACGGTGTGTATTTAGATTGTGGAGAGGACAGTCCAGGACATTGAACAGATCACTTCAAGGCTAGACATTTATGTTAGTTGCTTTTTGGCAATACATAGTGTTTGAACTGCAGAAGACTAAACAATGATATCTAAATAAATATTGTATTTTAAAGTTATACGCGGTATTTTCATTTCACCTATACAAAGTTTAAGGTGTGTTTCTGGTCTCATAATCATGTAATGACGTTCGCGATTTACTGAAAAATTCTTAGATCTCTGCGATAACTGTAGTAAAATAAAGCATCATTTAAAGATGTAAAAGGTATACTAACTGATTGACGTCATAACCTAGAGTTTACCTACAAAAAATTGTAGTTTTCAGTCGATAAGCCTAGTTGATGAACTGTGAAACTTCGTTTAGATAATTTTTTTTATGAAATGGCGTGCCATACTTGTAACTACTCAGGTAGGTCTAATATACGAAATATGCATGTGATACTGTCTGAATATTATTCCATTGCATGTGGAATCTTAGTTTTATAGAAAAGAGTTTTACAACTTTAAATCTAAGAGTAAAGAAATTTTACGTACAATTAGGCCTATCTCCATACATTTCATATTATACTGGAGAGAAGATAAAAAATAACAAACATGTGTTACAAACAATTGTTGAATTTTTACACAGTTGCAGGAAGTAAATTTCAACAGAGCTGCGGAATTTCCTATACCAGTTCATGACAATAATATTTCCCTGTGACGGAAATCTGATTATTAATAAAATAAAGTACTCTGTATATTTAATGCAACACGGAAATAAGGGAAGTCACTCGGATGTTTTTTTTTAATTGTTAGTGCATGCTATTTGCCGTGCTTGATCCATATTTGCCGCCTCAGCGCCGTTAGCAGACATTTAAAGCTGCGTATTAATCAAATAATTTAGTTATTCAGCAGGGTTGATTTCAGTGCAAAAGGAAGGAGATAACGAATAGCTACATATCTCATAAATTCTTTAAACAATACAAATAAACAATAAACGGACAACTATATAAAAATTCAAGAGGTGGGATCAAATGCCTATAAGGAATAAGCATCCCTTGATGATCGGTCACACGTACGTCGTGAGCGGTATGTATTGATTAAGTAGGCGGAATATTCCGTACTCAAATTTAGTTTATTAAGAAAGCCCTAACAATTGGTATGAAAATAAGTAAGTCAACCATTATACGACCCACTGATAGGTTAAAATTGCAAAAAAAGGGCATTTTATAACAAGCATATAATTTACAAAATGC